TTATAGATCTTGTTTTATCATTAGATTAATTTGATTTTGAATTTTCGGAGAGAGTTGAAGTATATTAGATATAGGATTTAGTAAAAGGAGTTAGAAAAAAATTATGAGCTCAAGCACGACTATAGTTCAATATACTTGTTTTTGGCCTTTGATTTATTATGATTTGAATTGTATTGTTATGTTGTGGTGATTTTAGTTATGATAATCTTGATAAGAGAGAAGTTTAACTTATTAGTAACTTGGTTCTTATACTGTAGCAATTCAGGATTATGTTTCAAATACATGTACCAGAAAATTTGTAATTTTGCTTGGAGTTAATGTCTTTTTTACTTGTTTTTGGGTTAAAAGTTGGTTAAGTAATTTTTTCCTTGGGAGATTGAAACTGAAGTTGATTCATATAAGGCCAACTTTGCTACTGTTAATATGTAACCCGCATGATAACATACACATATGAAACATTTGTATTAGATAATGATGCCGCAAAAGTTCATAATGTAACCTGCATATGGAAGAACAAAATGTAGCAGGCTCTTCATCAGAAACATAGAAGAGGCTAAGCCAATCTTTCAACTCCAGAGCATTCTCTGCTTGAGAAGAAAAGATTGTCCCATAACTTATGAGTTGCTTTCTTCATATTGTCCAATACTGTCATTTGTATCCCAGGATTGTTAATCTAAAAGAATCCTTCTTTTCTCTGCTGCATTGCATGTCATATCTACCACCATTTGATCTTTTGGGTTTGACACGTCTTCTTCCAATGTATGCAATATGGAGGAGTTAGAAGCAGAACATGTTGCTTGAAAGGTTGAATATGCAGCTGGAGGTAGAGTATGCAGCTCGAGTGAAAATGGAGCAAAGGATGCAGAACAAGCTAAAGTTGTTAAGCAACAATTCAATTCTATTTTGCAGTCTTGGCATCACTCGATACATCAGTTATGTGTTAATGTTCTTGGCTTCGTGGTAACATCATTTACACTATTGTCAACAGAGATTAATACTATTGAGGAAAATGATGCTATTCATGATGACAAAGAGAACAACTTTGGAGAGGATAGTTGAATATCTAATTTACGAGGATGAACAGTTACGTTTTTTAGATGCATAATAAGAGATACAAAGAATGTTCAGGTGTAACCATACTTAGTGAATGATTTTTATTTATATTTTCTTGAAATATTTTGGATTCAATATTACATTGATTGGCACTGCATATCTTAATTGAATTATTATTATTATTATTATTATTATTATTATTATTATTATTATTATTATTTTGCATCTTTATATTATTTTGAATGTGGTTAAAAAATTACTAGTATATAATAAATAAATAAAATATATAATTTAATTTCTCCCTACAAATTCTTTCATAATAGCCTACAAATATGTTTTTCTACGAAAAAATTATTTGTAGAGAAAAACAGGGTTTAGCCTACAAAAAATATGTATCATGTTGTCACAAATTTTAAATTGCTGGAAAAATGTATATATTTTAGTCCACAAATATTCTTTCCACACAAAATAATTTTTGTAGGGAAAAGCAAGATTTAACCCACAACATAATTTGTAGGGAAAAGTGATATCATTTCGTATGCAAAATTAACTTTAGCAGACGAATGATTTTGTCGAGAGAAAACTTACCTGATGGACGTATTGTATTTGTCTCCGAAGGGTTCGTAGGGAAAAACTTTTCCCCACAAATTTCAAAATTTTGTAGGCCAAAGTCTATCCCCTTGATGTTTGTCCCACAAATGTCCCTACAAATTATTTTTGTCTGCAAAGATTTTTTCCCACAAATAAAACCTTTCACTACAAATAAATTTTGTAGGGAAAACATAAAATTCTTGTAGTGATGCTGTCTTCCAGATTCCAAAGTTCAATATGAAACAGTGGCCTGGATTCCTTCTTCATTCCACCATAAATGCTCCCCTCACTGAAACTTTCCTCACTCAGGTCATGGTCTACAATATCAAGAGTTATGGCTTGCTCTCAAATGCAATATCTCCTCGTTTTCTCGCACTTGAACTGTTCAAATCTGCACTAAATTTAAATATTTAAAATATTTAAATTTTAAATATTTAACTTTATTCAATTTTTTAAGTTAAATATTAACTTATATACAAAAAAATATATATATTTATAAATAAAATATCACTTATAAGTAAAAAAATTCATACAAGTACCCATAAACTGAAAATTTTACTTATGGACATGTATATTCTTTTGAAAAACTCTAAAATCACACAAAATTGAACCACCCGAATCCTCTGTTGGAAGAATAGATAGATTTCTAAGGAATAGGAAGTTTGATGAGCGTGTCGACGCAGGTGCTCCAGTCTGCCTCTCTGTCATTCTTGAATACCTTGCTGCTGCGATGGGTTATCGGTTTTGTTTGTTCCCATTTCGTACATTTTTTATGTTCAGGATTTATTATATGGTTCTGTTGACTGAGGTTTTGAAGCTTACAGGAAACGAGGCCAGGGACAATAAGAACAGGATTGCGCCTAGTCATAAACAATTGGCTGTAAGGAACAACGAAGAGTTGAACAAGCTTTTGGGAAATGTTACCATTGCAAATAGTGGGAGTTCTGACTAATATTAATCAGTATTTGTTGCCAAAGACAGCTGGCAGAAAAGATAAAGAGATTGGCTCTGCTTTGCAAAAGTTCTACGGTTTTTAATGAATTATTTATGGCGTTTGGATGGATATTATGCCCTTATTGATCAGTATTATTTGAAACTCTTTTTTCTATATTCTCACTTTCAACCACATATTCAGACAAAGTAATATTTTGTATGTAAATCCAAAACTTTTCTCTACTTTTTAATTGCACATTCTCTTAAAAAATACTGTTCAAAACATAGTTTTCCAAGATAGTGGTTGTCAAACAGTGGCTAAGGGTTTTGGTCATAGATAATGGTTGTCAAATAGTGGCTTAGGGTTTTGGTCTTCAGAATTTTATGAGTTAAAGACTCTTCTAAAATATAATAGTTTTTTTATTTAATTATATGAGTCTATGTTTTTTTTTTTTTTTTACACGTCAATAATCAGTTGTCTTAAGATTGTGCGACTGAAGACATAGATGTTACTTGCTTAACTATTTGGTGGTAACTGGCATTGTTTGAAATATTGAATGGGAATGAATATTCTATTATGTGGCATATGATATATAAAGCACTAATATTGGGACTAAATTGGATATGAATGCCGACTGGATGTTAGTACCATTTTGGGACTTCCTAAGGTTGCACTTTTAGCTACTTATATTGTCTACTTTTTTTAACAAAAGATGTGCTTGCATGTACAACCCAAATGATTTATTTTTAATTTTATTAATAATAGTATGATTGAATTTTTCGCTCTAGAAGAATTTGTATTTGTTTAGTTTTTTTCAAATCACATGAGAAATTTTTTACTTATAAATAAATTTTCACTGACGAATGACTTTTACCTTATAGGTAAATGTTTAAACCATGAATGATTCTTTTTGCATAAAAATAATTTTTTTACGTATATGTAAGTTATTTATATATAAACTTGTTTACTTATGCGTATGGGTGTTTTAAAATGATATTTTGAAATTTTGATTACTTTAACCAATCATAATGAGTTCAAATGAGCTTACTCAATAGTTCTTAATTTAGTTAAAGTGCATTGACTGATTCATGAGCCTTACGAACATGAATATAGTGTTTTCTCTATATAACGACAGGATTTACTTTAAGAAGTCAATTCAATTAACAGAAGCAATTGTAGAAGCCTCCAAAAATAGTTATATTGTGATGCAAGTTTGCTATAATTACCATTCATTGCTTATTTTTAGGTACTTAGTACTAGATCAAGAAAATGGATCTGGTATGTTTGACTTTAGCTACTTAAATTCTTACGTGTGGTTTTTTTTGTTTATTGTGTTTGAATGGGAGCTCACGAAATGCACTTCAAAATAAACGCTGCTAATAACATTGCTTATAAGTAAAAAAATATTTATATTTATAAGTAAAGTATCACTGATAAATAAAAAATTTCATATAAGAAACCTAAACTGAAAATTTTACTAAGATTTTATTCTTTTAAAAATCTTTCAAAACTAGTGGATAATAAACTCCCAGACATAGGTTTGACGGTTTTAAAAATCGCTATTAGGACCACTCAAAATTGAACTGCTTGTAAATGTTCATAGACAGTACATAAAAAAAGGCTAATAACTGGTACGCCAAATCTTCCAAGCAGGCCCTTAGGGTTTACAGTAAAATTAAAATCTGAAAATGAGTTCAACTGGCTTCCACTAAGGGTAGTAGATGGAGGCCCAAGTAATTGAAATACTTATCTTAATCTCGTAGCTGGCCTCGAATTCCCAGTTGGAAGAATCACTATATTTCAAAGGAATAGAAAGTTTGATAAGCGTGTCGACGCTGGTGCCCCAGTCTGCCTCTCCGCCATTCTTAAATGCTTTTCTTCTGAGATGGGTTATGGGTTTTGTTTGTTCCCATTTCCTACATTTTTTATTTTCAGGATTTATTATATGGTTCTGTTGATTGAGGTTTTGGAGCTTGCAGGAAATGAGGCCAGGGACAAGAAGAAGAAGAACAGGATTGCATCTAGGCATAAACAATTGGCTGTAAGGATTGATGAAGAGTTGAGCGAGCTTTTGGGAAATGTTACCATTGCAAACAGTGGGGTTCTGACTAACATTAATCAGTATTTGTTGCCAAAGATAGCTGGCGGAAAAGATAAAGAGAATGGCTCTGCTTCGCAAGAGTTCTGCGGTTTTTAATGTGTAACTCTTTTTTCTGCATTCTCATCTTCAACCACACATACACGCAATGTAATTTTTGCATTTAAATCCAAAACTTTCCCTACTTTTTAGCTACACATTCTCCTAAAAAAACATTGCTCAAAACATTGGTTTTCCCAGATAATGGTTGTCAAACAGTGGCTAAGGCTTTTGGTCTTCAGATTTTTATCAGTTAAAGACTCTTCTAAAATTTAATAGTTCTTTATTCAATTATATGAGACTATGTTATTTTTTTTTATTTTTTTTTGCTTGTCAATAATCAGTTGTCTTAAGAATATGCAACTGAAGACACAGATGTTACCTGCTTAACTATTTGGTGATAACTGGCATTGTTTGAAATATTGAATGGAAATGAATATTCTATTATGTCGCATATGATATATACAGCACTAATCTTTGGACTAAATTAGATATGAATGCCGATTGGATGTTAATACCATTTTGGGACTTCGTTACTGGTTTATACTGTTACTCACATTTTCTCAATGGTTAATCCATGTTTTTGTCGAACTTGTGTTCAGTGGTCGATACTTCATTCTAAAGATGGTAGAAGTTGATTGTTTATACTTCAGAGCTCCTGGTGCAGTAATTCCCATCTTTTACATTTTAGTTCTTTTCAAGATCATTAAAAAAAAAAAAAAAAAAAATATATATATATATATATATATATATATTGATAAATTTAATGATGCTCATTTCTAGAAGAATCTAGAATTACTTGCCTACAATATCCTAGAATTCCTTGGTAAGCAAGTATAATAAAAAATTAGAATTGTCTAGATTCCACTAGAGTAACTTGGACACCAAAAAATCTTGTATAGGTTGTAGACACTTGTAGAATTCTCTAGAAGATGTGATAAGAGTCTATAAATAGGGCATGATCCCTCATTTGTTTGCAAGAAAAAAAGAAGCTAGACAAAGCTCAAGCTATTGTAAGCCATCATCATTCTAATAAAATTCCTTTCTCCTACCCACTTTGTCCACCAAATTACTTTCTACCAAAATCTTCCAAACTATTAACTTTCAATAAAAAGCCAACTATTTTTTTTTCCTCCAAAATTATTCCATACAAACCATCCTCAATCATCCTATCACATCACTACAACAACACAAAAACTATCAGTGGTATCAGAGCCACGTTCGATTGATATTGGGTGTATGCATATATGATGGCAGACGCTTTCCGCTCATCAATTCCTATCCCAACATTTAATGGGGATAACTATGATTTTTGGTCTATCAAAATGAAGACCTACTTTTGTGCTCAAAATTTATGGGATGTCGTCAACGATGGGTATACTAACCCAGATGACATTTCCACTTTAACTTCCGCACAAAAGAAGGAACTTAAGGAGAATCAACAAAAAGATTCTCTAGCATTACTTTCTCTACAAATGAGCTTGACGGATACATATTTTCCAAGAATTATGGGAGTCAAAACAGCGAAAGAAGCATGGGATAAGTTGAAGGAGGAGTTCTACGGCAGTAACAAGGTACGTACTTGCCGCCTTCAAACTTTAAGAAGGAATTTTGAAAATCTAAAAATGAAAGAGTCAGAAACCGCAAAAGATTATTATTCAAGAATAGATGAAATAGTAAATCAACTAAGGTCTTATGGTGATGATGTTCCCGAAAAGAAGGTTGTTGGAAAAATTTTAATTACTTGCACTGAAAAATATGATCCAATTATTGCAGCTATTGAGGAATCCAAGGATATAGATGAATTAACAGCTGCAGAATTAATGGGATCATTAGAAGCTCATGAAAAAAGATTAGAAAGGCGCTATGAAATGGAGATAGAAAATTCTTTTCAATCGAAACTTAATATGTGGTTTCAAAAATCTAAAGAAGGTGGAAGAAAATTTAAAGAAAATTTGAAAAATAAAGAAATTCAAGGAAAAGAAGTTGATAAAAGCGACAAGTATTCTTCATGCAGTATTTGTAAAAGAAAAGGTCATCAGGAGAAAGATTGTTGGTTTAAAGGTAAACCACAATGTCGTAACTGTAGAAAATTTGGACATGAAGAGAAATTTTGTCGCCTTAAACAAAATCATCAAGCTAATTTCTCTGAAGAAAAGGAGACAGAAGGAAATCTATTTTATGCCTCCATGAAGAATGTCTCTGAAAAGAAATTAGATACGTGGTATCTAGATAGTGGCTGCAGTAATCACATGACGAATGATGAAAGTATTTTCTGCAGTCTTGATAAAATAAATACAAAAGTAAAAATTGGCAATGAAAATTTTATAGAGGCTACAGGTAAAGGTACTATTGCCGTTGATACAAAAAAGGGCAAGAGATACATTAATGAAGTTCTCTTAGTCCCTACTATAGATCAAAATCTACTAAGTGTAGGTCAGATGATGGAGAAAGGATACAGTATACATTTTGAAGGAGATTATTGTACAATTTATGATAAGAAAGATAAACATCTGGTAATTGCAAACGTCAAAAAGCGGGAGAACAGATGCTTTCCAATCCAATGGAGATACGCAGACAATACGGCAATGGCGGTGCAAGTAGATGAGTCATGGTTGTGGCATAAAAGATTTGGACATTTCCACTTCCATGGGTTAAAGATTTTGAAGCAAAAGAGCATGATGAGAGACTTACCAGTCATAAAAGAAATTGATGAAATTTGTGAAGGATGCTTGAGTGGGAAACATCACCGTCAACCATTTCCATCTGGAAAAGCATGGAGAGCCAAAAAGCCTTTGGAGTTGATACATACAGATGTATGTGGCCCGATGCGTACTCCATCACATAACCAAAATAGGTACTTCATTCTATTCATAGATGACTATACTAGAATGACATGGGTATATTTCTTACAAGAAAAATCCCAAGTATTTGAGATTTTCAAAAAGTTCAAAAGCTATGTCGAAAAGCAAAGTGGTTGCAAAATCAAAACTATCAGAAGCGACAGAGGCAGGGAATATACATCAAATAAATTCAACAAGTTTTGTGAAGATGAAGGAATGGAGCATCAACTTACTGTTGGGTACGCACCGGAACAAAATGGTGTGTCAGAAAGAAAGAACAGAACAGTAATGGAGACAGCTAGAGCTATGCTAATGGAGAAAGGTCTTCCAAAAACATTTTGGGCAGAAGCAGTAAGCACTGCAGTCTATCTACTAAATCGATGTCCGACAAAGGCAGTGCAAGACAAAACACCAGTTGAAGCATGGGGCGGACGAAAACCATCAGCAAAACATCTCAGAGTTTTCGGCTGCATCTGCTACACACATATACCTCAGGAGAAAAGAGGTAAGCTGGATGAAAAGACTGAAAAAGGAATCTTCTTAGGTATAGTACTCAATCAAAAGGCTATCGAGTATATAACTTAAGAACAAAGAAGCTAATTATGAGTCGAGACGTAAAGTTTGATGAAGATGCCACCTACAACTGGGAGACTGGTCAAATTGAGAAAAAAGATGTCAGCACCCTTACACAACCACAAAAGCAGGAGAGTGATGTTGAGGAGAACAATCAACCAGAGCCTCCGCAGCATGCAGTTATAGAAGAACCAGTTGACTCACCAGAATCATCACCAAGAAAGACACGAAGATTATCAGAAATATATGAAAGATGCAACTTGATGATCATAGAACCTGAAAGCTATGAAGCAGCTTCAAAACAACCAGAATGGAGAAATGCTATGGATGAAGAAATAAAAATGATCGAGAAAAATAATACTTGGGAGCTTGTAGATCCTCCTCAAGATAAAGAAGTCATAGGAGTTAAGTGGGTCTACAAGACAAAACTCAATGCTGATGGCTCGATTCAAAAACATAAAGCAAGACTAGTTGCCAAAGGATACTCACAGCAGTTTGGCATCGATTACACCGAGACATTTGCCCCTATTGCACGCCTCGATACTATAAGGGCGTTAATTGCACTAGCCACACAGAAAAGGTGGAAGATTTACCAGCTGGACGTCAAATCGGCATTTCTTAATGGTTATCTTGAAGAAGAAATTTATGTGGAGCAACCTCAAGGGTACGTGGTTCGAGGTAAAGAATATAAAGTTTTCAAACTAAAGAAGGCACTATATGGATTAAAGCAAGCTCCGCGAGCCTGGTACAGCAGAATTGACAATTACTTTACTAAGCAAGGATTCAGGAGGAGCCAAAGTGAACCAACTCTATACATCAAAAACCAAGGTACAAATAGTACACTTATAATCTCTTTATATGTTGATGATCTCATCTACATAGGGAATGATGAGAAGATGATCAAGAAATTCAAGGAAGATATGATGAAAACGTTCGAGATGACTGATCTGGGATTAATGCACTATTTTCTTGGGATTGAGGTAACTCAATCTAAAGATGGGATATTTATAGCTCAGAAGAAGTATACCACCAATCTATTAAAAAAGTTCAAGATGGAAGGTTGCAAAACAGTAGCAACACCTCTGGATAGCAACAAATCACTCAAAAAAGAAGACGGTGCTCCAAAAGCAGATAGTTCACAATTTCAAAGCTTAATTGGAAGTTTACTCTATCTAACTGCTACAAGGTCAGACATAATGTATGCAACCAGCCTGCTTTCAAGATTTATGCAAAATCCAAGTCAAGTTCACTATGGAGCTACAAAGCGGATACTAAGATACCTCCAAGGAACAAAGGACTATAGAATAAGGTATGAGTCTACGCCTGACTCAAGACTACTTGGGTATACTGATAGCGATTGGGCAGGATCAGTAGATGATATGAAGAGCACATCAGGCTATGCATTCATACTAGGTTTGGGAATATTTTCTTGGGCATCAAAGAAACAGGCAACGGTTGCACAATCATCAGTTGAAGCAAAGTATATTGCAGCAGCAATGACTACGAGTCAAGCAACATGGTTAAAGCGCATACTTGAAGATATGGGAGAGCCACAAAATGAAGCAATAAAGATCTACAGCAACAGCAAATCAGCTATAGCAATGGTCAAGAATCCTGTATTTCACAGCAGAACAAAACATATTAGCATCAAGTATCACTTCATCAGAGAAGCTGAAGCAAACAAATAGATAGAACTTAAACATTGCAAAACTGAAGAACAATTGGCGGACATATTCACGAAGGCGCTACCACGAGCAAAGTTCGAGCTACTACGAGAAATGATTGAAGTTACCGAAATGAGCATCAAGGAGGAGTGATAAATTTAATGATGCTCATTTCTAGAAGAATCTAGAATT